CAGATCATCGTTGTTAGTAAATGGATCACCAACATCAAAATTCGAAATTCAAAGAGAGTAAGGCAAGGGGACCTCCTTTTCCCTTTTTTTTCATTCTCGCCATAGAAGGCTTGCTTATAACCATTCAAGAATCCCTTCATTCTCATGTGTCTTCAAGAATCAAACTTCCTAGAAACAGTCCCTCCATCTCTCATTTGTAATAAGCCAACAATTGGAGAGCGATCACTTTTCAACACCCTAAATATTTCTCGAATTGTAAGACGTTTTTATTTGACATCTGAAATTTGAGAGTGAATTACACGGAAAACAAGGTGTACGGTCTTGAAGTAAAAAATGAATAAATCTTTAATGGTGAATATGAAGCACTTACATTACCATTCACATATTTAAGGCTTCTAGTAGGGGTAAACATGAATTTAACCAAATATTGGAAGTTGGCAATTGAAAAAGTCTCCAAGAAGCTCAATAAATGGAAGAAAAGAAATTTGTCATTTAGTGGTAAGATCACATTACTTAATTTGTTGTAAGTATTCTACCTCTTTATTATTTTTTGTTATATAAAGCATCAATATCAGTCATTTACTCTCTCGAGAAAATTAGAAGGTGATTTTTATGGTCCATAAATAGTAAAATGTAACATCTTAATTTTCAATGCTAAAAATTTCATTTTGATATAACGATTTAAACGAACATTTATAAGAAAACATCATCAAGTCACATCATTTCATAAACTATAATCATATGTCTCAACACTATAACATTAAAATAGTATCAATGTCAGAGTACAATCCCAAAAATCTCATAATGCGGAAATCATGTGTGTGTGATGCGTTGTTATCGTGTCGGCTCCTTCCCTTTCGATGAAGAGGTACCTGAAAACCAAAATTGAAAACTGTAAGCACGAAACTTAGTGAGTTACCCAATCATACCACATACATACACATATATTGGCTATCACTCGGTATCTTTCAACCGGTATCTAACATGCATAACTGGAAGTTGGGCTTCCTTTTGGTATCTTTCAACCGGTAGTTAGGATCTGACCTTCCTTTCGCTATCTTTCAACCAGTAACCGGGAGCTGACCTCCCCTTCTGTATCTTTCAACCGGTAATCGGGGACTATTTCACCCCTAACACTACCACATAATAACATATCATGAACATATAGCTAGGCATGCATGGGTACTGTCAACCCCTTCAGTATCTTTCAAACGGTAACCGGGGACTATTTCAACCCTACTACTACTAACACATATAGCATCCTAGCAGATAAGCGTAACAGATAGTGGCATACCAGATAATTATCACAAAGACAATCATCAAATTACAACTCCTACTTAGTGGGCCGACATTATGGCCATCGACCCACTTCTACTGGAAGGTAACTCAGCTCAATGTCGTGTAGTAACTGAACTATCATCGATGCTGAGATAAACTCCTCTCAGACTCCTATACATAAGAACCTCCCTTAATTACCATTTCATACTCATAACCCTTTCAAGGGTCAACTCATGTCAAAGTCAACGTCAAGGTCAACACCTTGGTCAAAGTTAAATTTTGGTCAAAGTTAACTTTTGGTCAAAGTCAACATCTGGTTGACTCAACAGTCAACTCGCCGAGTTGGTCCACCAACTCATCGAGTTCCATAATTCACAAAATGCTGGAACTTCGATCCTACTCGTCGAGTCTTTCAAGAACTCGTCGAGTTCTCCTTCATACATAATCGGGACCTTTTGCTCATGACTCGCCAAGTTCATCCTTGAACTCATCGAGTCCTGCTTCATGTAAGTTGGCACATTTAGTCTTGGACTTGCCAAGTTCATCCTTGACTCGTCGAGTTCTTCTTCATATCAGTCGGGACATTGCCTTGAACTCACCGAGTTCATCCATGAACTCGGCGAGTTCTTTGATCTTCAAGTTCATATTCACATCCATCTTGTTGAGTCCTCTTCTAGACTCAACCAGATTGCTCAGAAACAGAAAAGGTTGGGGAACCATGACCCGACTCGCCAAGTCCCCTAAAGTCCAAGTCTATCCAGTCGATTTCAGCCAGGCTTAATGCATCAAGAACGTATATCTGACCTCCTAGGATCGATATAGCACGTAAAGTCACGAACTTTACGTCCATGCATGGGTCTTCAAGCTCAAAAGACCCAAAAATGAAGTCTACAAGGTGCATGGGACTCTCATGACCATAAAGTTGGCACCTTTATGCCAAGGGAACCCTCAAAGGTTCAAGATTTGAAGTATAACCCCACTGATACACATAATCCCAAATACGGCTTCACTAAGACTTAGAAAATGTAGAAAATAGCCATAAATAGAGATCTAAGAAATGAATAGTCAAGGTATCAACTTTATACCTCAAATGAGTTGAGAATGTGACAAAATCTTTGGATCTACTTGTTTCCTCTTTATCTCCCAAGCTTCCTCTTTCTTCTCAAGCTTCAAAAACTCACAAATGCCTCAACAATGGCTCTCACACTTACAAAATGCTCCACGGTTTCAAGTTAGGGTTTTCTGGACTAAGGGAGACGATGGAGGCTAGAATGGAGGCCAGTTAAAGTGTTTAAATAGGATGCAAATCCTAAAATTTAGGGTTTCATTCAGACAGATCTACTCGTCGAGTCGAGGCTTTCGACTCGTCGAGTAGACTCTTCCACCCACGTCTAAGATTCGCTCCTACTTGACGAGTTTGGGGCCTCAACTCGTCGAGTTCAAGTATAAAAATGCAAAAACTTATATTTAAAATACGTACCAGGAATCAGACGTTATACAAAAAGAGAAATATATGTTGAGTCCCATCGAATAAAGTATTAGCTCCTAAAAAACAAGGAGGTCTTGGTGTCATAAGCTTGTGTATCATGAATCTATCATTTTTCACAAGTGGTGATGACGTTTAAAAACAAAACGTAATGCTTTATGGTGTAGTGTAGTGTATACAATTCACAAAGTGGACGGATACAATTGTTATAAATTGACAAGTTTAAATTATACACGAACATGGAAATATATACCAAAAGTTGAAGATGATTTTAAAGTTTTTAATTTTCATTTGTCAACATTGTTTATTAGGAAAATCGAAATTGGTAATTCATGTTATTTAAGGTATGATGCTTGGGCAGATCATAGACCTCTAAAAACTTTGTTTAGGGATCTATTTGCTCTTGAAGGGGCTAAATTGTGTTTTATTTGTGACAGATACTCATTTAATCAGAAAAATGTAGAATAGAGATGGAACTGGAGAAGGTTGCTAAGCATAATGCAAGAGACAAAACATTTCAATGTGGTACAACACATAATGCCCACCATCAAACTCAACACCGAGAACGTTACATGGGAGGGGAATGTAGGTGAATCTGATGTCCATCTGTCAAATCTTTGCATGGTTTATCATCAGAATGCTACTTAAATTCCGAAGCAATAATGTTTTTTCTAAGATAAATGTTTTTTCTTGGCAATGTGGCAAAACACAATACCAACAAGCGATAATCCTATAGCAAGAACAATAAGTTTGCAGTTTCTATCAAGGTGGAATGGATTCAATTTTGCATGTATTTTTGGAATGCGCATTTTCAAAGATATGAAATTTAATTCAAAACTGGTGTTGGCTATATATCTCAGATATTAGCAACACAAGTTCCATCTTTTCATTGGTATCGACAATTAGATACACAAAAAATGCGATACAAATATTTCACTCAATATCGATGGACATTATGAGCACGTAACAAGGCAAATCTTCAATAAGGTGAAATCAATTCTCAAAAAGGTGTTAGCACAAACATTGGCAATGGTCTTCCTATGGGTTAAATTTAGAGCAAAACTCTACTCAATTTGTTGGAATGATTGGTATGTACGGCCTTTTGGCATCATGTAACTTTATTTTCTTATATTGCCTTTGTACTCCTTTTGCATTTGGCTAGTTTCTAACTAGGCGTAGTTTATAATATATCGACTTTTTATCTTTCAAAAAAAAAATAAAAAAATACCAATTTGATCATTACCCATTTACCCTTGTGACAATCTTCCATGACAAATATCACTCATATTTTAACATTATTTCTCTTTAATCATATCCATTTTAAACTTTAAATTTAATTATCATCTTTTTGGATTTGGATTGTACTAATAATCAACAAAGCCGTCAACATTTACCAAAAAAAAATTATGTGGCTCAACTTTCCTATTAGCTGTAATTACGTTGTCATTTTCTTAAACATTAAATACTTTAATTATATCTCGAAAATACTTTATACAAACATTGTATCGAAAAGGACCAAAATTTTGGTGGAATGAATGATTGTGACAACAAGGGGGATTTGTCATATCACTAAAGTTTATCTTTTCCAAAACCATTCTTGTTCCATTTCAACTTTTCCTACAAATGAATGACAAAAAATGATCTTTTACATATTTTGTGGGGGGCAAAAAAGAAGCTAGTGGCCAAACATTCATGTTACAATTACATGACCCACAAGTCATGGGGGCACTAACCCCATGTCAACCCTTGCGTTAAATCATGAATACCTTCCATCATATGAACCTCACTCCCCCCCTTTTCATGGATCCCACTTCATAATTTCACACTCACTCAACTCCATTTAAAAATCCCATTAAAACAAAGAATAAAATCTATTTGATCTAGTGGGTAACGCCTAAAATCCGGTTTTTTATTATTCTTATAACTCTTCGGTTTGAATCTTATACCTATACATGTTATAGATTTTTTTAAATTCATATCGGTTCAATTAAAAACTTAAAGCGTGTTTGGAACATCCAAAATCATGTGTAAATAAATCAATAAGAGTATTTAAAAAAGGACACAATATTAAACAAAATGATAAAAGTAATGAGTACATGTTGCCATCTTTACTAAAGTTAATCATGAAAAGGAAATAAGAATCATTCACAAAATCTTCACTCCACTAAAGAAACAAGAATGGAAAATTGAATAAACAACTTCATTAAAAAAAAAAAAAGTATTGGCTCTTGAAATGTCAACTATGAGTATTATTTGCATTTCTAAACGGTAAACTAACATTAACAGACGAATTAACCATATGGGTATTGGTACCTGAAGATATTTGACCTTTATGATGATCTCTCTTTGACCAAAGCCAAATCTTGGAAACTGAAAAGCTCTCACCTTTGCTTCGATTGCTGATTTTCTTTCCATCATTACCCCCATCAATTGAGCTATTTTCTTTATCTTTATTACCAAAACTGCCCCTTCTACTACTACCCCTATTGGGAACAAATGCCACTCTTAAATCTGAGTTTCCCACCACATACTCATAAGATCCCATCGAGTAACATCTTCTTGCATCAAAATTGCTATTACTTGTCTCCCCAACTTCCTTTTCATCTCTTTTTCCAACATTTGTGGCTCTAAACTTTCCAAGTCTAACCGGATACACCCTCTTTTCGTTACCAATACTACCCTCGGATTGCTTGAAATGACCAAAATGCCCCTGGTCATCATCTTCTTCCCTTGAATCATTAAACTCGAAGACAGGATTTTCAACAGAAAAACCAGGAGTGAAAAGGGTTCCTCTGCATAAAGGACAAGTTGAATTTGAAAGCAACCAAGTGTCGATACATTGCATATGGAAAGCATGGCTGCATAAAGGTAACAATCTTAAATTGTCCTGTTGTGTAAATTCACAAAGGCAAACAGCGCAATCGAAAGGCTCTTTTAACCCCATTAATTCTTTGTAAGAAAACACTGGGAGTGCATCAATGAAAGCTTGATCTAACCCAGAATCATGTAAATTGAAAAGCTGTTGTAATTGTCTCTCGTACGCATCACCATCACCATCATCATCGACACCACTTTCTTGAAATCTTGAAGATTGAAAATGGGAATTTGAAGATCGTTTCCTCTTTATCAAATACCTCACCAGTAAATGGAGTAAACCACATATAAAGAACATAACCGCTATCACAATTATAATGTTTCTAGCAAATAACAGGGTTGAGTTAGTTTTGGAATCCGTATGAGAAGGGGGATTAGCAAGAGGGGTAGGAGGAGGAGGAAAAGATGAAAGAAGGCGCATTTTAGCAGATATGAAAACCTACAAGAAGCATCAAGTTTTCTGTATGTTTTCAAAATGCGTGAACTGTGAAGAACGCTCAAGAAAGGTTTTTTATTTGGTTATTTTAATCTTCAATCTAAACCCAGTTCGTGAATTCAATAAACAACCGATATAAACATCTACTAGTTGAAATTACAACAAACCCACTTGATAAAAACTAAGAAATGCTACAAGAATCAGATCTTGATTCAAAAAAAAAATCAAGAAAAAAGAAAAAGAAATAGGGTTTGGAGAGTTCAAGATTTTAGGTTACCCAGCTCAGAATGTCAAATAAACATTAGTCTTTTAGCACAAACCTGTGCTGATTCGAAGGCGAAAAATACTTCTTTGACACTTTCTTGATGAGTGGAATCTGTTGATATATAGTGGTAAGCGGTAAGTGAATCAAAGAAATCCTCGGAGGGTAAAATTACAGAGAGATGTAGTCGTGTGTCGAGGGAGCCTTAAAAGAGAAGTAGTGAAGGCATGGGTAGTTTTGTCATTTCCTCAAAATGATTACAAATGTTTTAGTGCACTGTGTTAACTGTTCACAGATCACACACCAGACTCCAGAAGGGCTTCTCTTGATTGCACATGGCCCAAGAAGGAATTTTGTGGGCAATAATGGTGCAAGTCAAATAGCAAAACTTTTTTATATATTTTTTTAGTTTTCTTGAAGCACCCATCTTTTCTTAATAACCATAATAATACTTAAAATTTCAAAGCATGTAGTTTAAGGAAAAGAAGTAGTGATATTTTAAGGCTATTGAAAATAACGGTTCATATGAATTATAGAATTGATAACATAAATCCCCTATTATAATAATTTTTTTTTGTCTATATAGCATGTTTATCATGTTTCTTTGGTTCAAGTTCAATTACTAAACTATTCTTTTAAAACTCCAAATTGTTCAGTCTTATAATCTGTATAAAGATATTTATTATCAATCTTGTAAATTTTGCATATGTTTTGCCCCAGATCACGATATCTCCCCATCTTTAGCTTTTTTATTTTGAAAATCAAATCACATAAACACTTATCACATTCATTAGGCTTTTTGTTGTGGGTTATAAGTTATAACTTGTACATGTATTGTAAGCACTATATGAGACCTTTTTACTTGATAAATAAGTGCAAAATTAACTCAAAGTACTCTCTACAGATTGATCATGAATTTAGCATTTTTATTTAAACTAATTTTGTAACATCCTGTATCGAGAAATTTATTATTTTGGGATTGTGGACAATAAATGGATCAAGTAAAAGCCTTAGGCTTCAAGGGAATGAATTTTAGACCTTATTGGATGATGATAATGTTGGATAAGTGATTAAATCATTGGTTTGTGTCTTGGAGTCAAAGGGTAAATGAGAAAAGCGATGTTTCAGACTTCCTTCATGAATTAAGGATTTTAGTTCGATGTGTTAATTCAAAAGTAATTAGATAGGGTTGTGGGGATCGTCAATACCTTTCCGTGCATATAAAGAACGTCGAAAACGAAGTTGAAACGAATAAGTTATAATTGTTTGAAGTTGGAGTGAAATTGGGTGAAAACCTGTTCTCATGGGAAGAGAAGTAATTCTCATGACTCGAGAGTCCTCACAAGGTGATAATATATTCTCACAGCATGAGAACTGTACAACTCAAAGCCCACAAAATGTTTAGGATTTTCAAGGTATTTATGTTGGGTTTTGAGTAATCTAACACTTCCTAAGTGTGCATGCAACCCTAATAAACCTTGGATCTATGTTTTCTTCTAAAATACATGCAAATAATAACTTCCAAGGTTTCTTCCTAACTAGCATAGCATAAGGATTATGAATCATAAAACTACTAGTAGAAATACATACCTTTTGATGATGGTTGATTGTTTGGAGTTTGAGAGTCAAGCACCAATAGTGTGAATGCCTCAAATGGAATCACAAATCACCACAAACGTTTGGAAAACTTTGAGAGAGTAGTATACTTTCTTATGAAATCGGCCACCACTAAGTCTCACACAACTAGCGTCTACCTTTTAGAGCCATATTTCTTGCATCATATGCTTCTTTATATAGTGTGCATGGTTAGGGTGAAACCCTAATAACCCATGTCTTTTCCTTTCCAAGGATCCATGGGTTAAAAGCTCCATGGATCATCCATGGACTTCCATATTAGCTTAGCCCATTAACAAATGAGTATTATCCCACACTATATAAAATATAATAGCCCATAATTTAATCAGTCTTCTTTTTAATCTCTAAATTAATTCATAATTAATTTAAGACTAAAACTAATTAAATAACATGACTTCATATTAATATATTATAACTTATAATATATTAATAAATCGTAAGTATACAATTCTCATAAAATTATCCATAAATCGTTTGGATGAAATGCAACCCAAATGGACCATGTCGGGTCGGGTCAAGTATGTACCAAATAAGTTATGGACTTAGACACCTTATCCAACAAACTCCCACTTGGATAAGTCTAATAACTATATTTGTGTATGTTACTTCAGGAACCAACCATCAATCGTAGCTCTCAAAAACTCTGTTGAACTATGAAGCGCCATTTTAGATAAGTGATCATATAATCCTCTCTTCTAATGATATCAGTCAGACAAATACATGGAACAACGTCGTACTTATTGTCCAACAGTTTGTTTCCCGATTTTCGATTTGTTTGACAAAGAACTTAATCGAACACATCAATTTAGTTCTGACCTGCCGGTACATAGGTCACAACAAAATCATCGAGGGGCCCAGATATCGCTTCTATTTCTAGAAGGAACAGATAAACTTCGACTCATATGCTTGTTCTACTACTTGTTGAATTGTACACAAAGTCATGTTTTATAACATCAATTTACTGATGCATTTACGTGCAATCAATGCACAACCAACTCATAGGTAACAACTCATATCTCTAGGTTTGAAGATTTATATGATATTACTGTCTCACGATCACTCGAGATAAATTCCATGCAGTGATACCAGTAAACGTGGGTTTATTCCAATACTCATAACTTATGAGCACTCATGAATGTTGTAGAAACCATTGCTATGACTAAACCCATTTAGCCATCTACAAACTCGATTCATGACAGTCTTGATTCATACATACTTCCAACATATGAACGACTATGGAGTGTTTAAATAACATAGTCATTCGGAAAGAATAACCTAGCTATTTTGGAAGTCACAACATGCAAAGTGAAACACAATAATAATCGAATCCAATATGGTCTCAGAACCCTTTTGAATATAAATAGAACCACCTTTTATTTATCACCATATTGATTACACATTATTCATTGTATAATGTTTCAAACAATCAACTTAAGACTTGAATAAAAACAATAGTCGTCCCATGCTCCTGGCATGTACACTTTGTTTTTCTAAACAATAGTTATGCCATACTCCAAGTATGCACACTATGTTTGTCTATGATCCTTACATTGTGATGTAGATCAATTGAACATGATTCCAATGATACTCATTTCACAATCCCAAATCCTTATTGTAAATGTGAGAATCCCCGATTCCTATCATTTGCCAAAAAATTTTGTTAGATTTTAAACTTTTATGCAATGTTCCTCTTGTAATGATTATTCACAAAGTCACCAAAACCTTGTCACCAGTCATTACAGAGTATTCCAAAAAAAGATCAACTTCTATGGAACGGAAGTCTCATATTCAAAGTACATTGCTTTGAACATCCTTCTTGCATTAAGGTTTTCTAATCTTACATAGATTGAATAACTTCCACCTATGGAGACATTTCCATAGTCCCATTTTGACTATCACTTCCGAACAAGAGTTACTTCTTTTCAGAACATGTCAATACGGTCCTTTCCGACAACTTACATCATACTTCCAACTTTCCCTGAGCAACCAATCTTTGGCAAACCTCAGATTGTCCTCAACAATTGCTTAATCACTTTAGTCATATCCAGTTCTAGACTTTTCCCTTCTAAATGCCCTGAGCATTTGGAAAATTTAGAAAGGATGAATATTATAGCACATGAAATCGATCCTATATCCGAAGCATATGGGACACGAGTCATGATGTCTCACATAAAGACATGATACTAGACCAGTCTTTTGCTACAATATTTTTTATTTGTCATGTTTTCAAGATTTAACTATGAAGAGGGATGTCGTAGTCATAATTGAATTTTGAGAATGCAATACATATAGAATTTCCTTAAGTCGAACCATTCAGACATAAAATTCATATATATGTCCTTGACTAAAGGTGATTAAAATCTCAATCTAAGCTTCTAGAATTGAAATGAAGTATAGTTTTCTCTCCCTTAATTATAGCAAAACGACTTTTTCAACCCCTGCAACTTCATGAATTGAAACTTTTGTTTTTCTATAATTAACATTGCTAGCTTGCAATACTAATCATAATTATCATGCTCCCACTAACATGATGATTATTAGCATAACACTTATGCTCCCACTAGCTCTGACATATTTCCAGAAATCTGTTGGACTTTTGAAATTTAGATTCATACACCCTTTCTTAGATAGCTCACATGTGTGTCTAAACAATTTTCAGAACTATGAAAAGGGATGCCATAATCATAGTCTCAATTGCTTAGGCATTTGCCATTTCTCACAAGTCCATGTTAGTGTGCCGGTTAACCACACACTTAGTGAAAACATTTCCTCACCATCATTCTCATGAATCGGAGAGAAACCTTAAGACACTTAGATTTTATGGTGCATGAGTTCCTATCCATGTGAATTTGTCAAAACCATAATCACAAGATAAGGTTAGTGACAAATTCAGTCTTACATGGATTAAACTTGTTCAATATTAGTTTCTTGTCACCTTGGTAGCACAAGGACCACCAACGCTTCCAAGTTGAACTCTGATAACTCACATGCAAATTCAACTTATTTGAAGTAGGTACAGAAATAAGAATTATGTCAACACGATAGGTTGCAAACCTTAAGTCGTGTGCTAGTGATAAATTACAGGTTTTACTCTTGATTAAATCTTGAAACTCATTCAGGATCTTTAAGGCTCCCACTGTCCCCTTGACATATAAGTTTCCCCAGTCAAGAACCATTCCTTGACAAAACAAATATTCAAGGGATAGTGCGGATTCTTATCAAGACTAACACTTCACACAATTGGTCTTAGTTGGTCTTTGTCTCATCCAAGACATCACAACTTACCAATCTCAAATGTACAAGAGTAGAAAACATTTTACTCTTACATTTGACTAGTGTTAATAAATCTTCCTTTATGTCACTCAAGGTTACAATCTTGGAGTATGACTCTAAGAATTGTTTTGGAACGAAGTATGACTCATCTTCTTGATTTTAACCAATCCAACAATTCATGACCTCTCTTCTTAGCCATAACAATGCACTAAGACGTCCTTAGAGTATGAATTTGTGATATGGTTTCATAATCATTAAGATGATCATGAAATATGATACTAAAGTACTCTCCCATCCTTTCAGATTTGAGAAACTTTTATCTTTCTGCCTAATTTGATTCTTCTCATTTGTTTTGTCATACATTGTAACCTTTCCAATGTTACATAATTATTCTTAACCTTATAAGTATAATTATATTTACTAATCTTT